TTAATATTAATACTAATGTAATATTATCTGAGCTGGAAGAGAGTACTGACACAGCAAAATTTCAGGCTACCCTGGATTATTTAGGTGATCAAGGACTTCAACAGATAGTGAAGAAATGCAGATGCCTACACAAGACACTTGAATTGACCTTACAATGACAAGTGACATTTTATGTCAAAAAAAGAGGAAGTTAATCCACTATTGTGCCTGGAAAAAAAATTATATAGTTCTAAATAATAAATGTATCAATGCACAAAAAGGACTTTGCTGCCTGATGGACAGTTCAGTGATGACATACTGCCAATGTAGATCTGCTATCAAAACCGCAAGTAGGCTTATAGGACACATAAAGAATATGGTGAAGGAAAGCGCTGACAATATTACAATGCTCACATAAATCAATGACATATTGGTTTCCTTTTTAGCACATACTCGTCATAACGTGAGATGGTCTGATCTCTCTGCAGAGCCATTACCCGATGCCAGTCTCTTAGTGCACTTCTCATAAAACATCCTTCCCTTGCTTTGCTCCACCAAGGAGGACAGCACCTCTTCCTACAACACCTTCAGCACTACAGCAGGCAATGCTGGGAAGAAAAGCTGTTAAACTGATATGGATCAGGAAAAGAAACCATTTTGAGCAGTCCAAATGTTATACATGCCTTTGATGGAAGGTGCTCGGCTCCACCAGCTGCAGCCATGAGACAACTGCACAGGATGCTACTGAACAGGAAACCGAGTCGAGGAGCTCTGTCAAGCCCATGTCAAGATGACTCACCACTTCAAGTCACAGGTGATTGCTCGGTGTGCTTCTTTCTTCTCCTCTTTGGTCGAGAACGGACCTATCAGTAGAAGCATGGAGGCCTCTGGCTGATGATGTAGCTGCATTGTCTTGTTTCAGTTCTGGCCTCTTAAGAGCTTCCTGGTGCAGATGCTCAGCCTGCAGATATTTTGGGGAGATGCTTCTGACACCTCCTACCTATACAGGGGACACGACGACACCAAACTCAACTGGCAAAAACTATGACTGGACTTTTTTGGAACCTTTTTTGGTTTGTGGCTGCAAAGGCTTCACATGGTGAGTGAGTTTTCAAGGTCTTAAATGTGATATTTGCTCTATGGTGAATCACATATTATCTATAAAGAAATTCTGCACTTTCCTGGAAGATAACACTTCCAGGAAGTACAGCTAGTAGTTGTTATTGATGGCCAGACCATCAGGTTCTGCAGATAAAGCCAAAGCTTCTTCCTATCATCTGAGGTTTCCACCCTAAGCTCCCCGTTGTGCTTATTTTTATATTTTTATCTGTTTTATTCAGCTTACTGGTGTTAATTGTTTTTATGTCGTTATAAACCTGTGGTGCTTTCCCTTCTGTACTCAAATCCTCCCTACTTATTTCTATCCTTCCCCAGGTCATTTTCAGTGGTAAGACTGTCAGTTTTTGAAGATGGGGGCTATGTCTTCTACTACATAATAACAATGCACAAGTGCTATAAACGAGTAAATAACAGTCCTAGTGAATATTAGCCTCACCAAAAATACAAACATAGCTGATAATGTAGCTGGATTCCTTTCTCTTGTGCCTCCTACTCCAAAACATTCCAAAATAGTATTTTGCTAGACTTCTGCAGCTGAATGTCCGAGCTTTTTTGGTGTAAAAGATCTAGTTGTCTGACATACACAGCATTCTCAACCCAGCACTTCATAAAATGCTTAGTACTTCTCAAATACTAACTTAACTTCTGTAGTAAATACAATTTGCTAATACCTCTGTCAAATACTTTCTAAAGGTGACTAACTTTTCTTAACGTTCCAAACTACTAAGCACACATGATGTCCCATAAGGCGCTCAACGTTATTTCTGCTACATTCATCTTTCATCTTTTTCTTTCATTTTACTGTCTAAAACATTGATATTTCCCATATTAGTTTTACTCATCCGACTAGTTTCATGTTACACAACAGAAATGTTTGCAACTTAAAGATAAGCAAACGCATTTGTCTTTCCAGTCTAACAATTTCACTTTGGGAATTGGAGGAACCTCTCAGTATCATCCTGAAAACAGATCACTTCAAAAAGTAACAGGCACTAGAATAGTAAAAATTTTATAACCGTCAAGAAAGAAATGTGGTTTTGTCCAGCTGAACACAGGACTGATGAAGAATAAACTTCAGGAATAGTAAGCAAAAAGCAAATATTTCAGTACCTTCCTCCTCCTTATTTAGTGGCAGGATTCTTATGGTACAGAGGCATACTGAGATCAAGAGGCTTTGGGGGAGTACAGTCAAAATATTACAAATAAGCCGTGCTTTTTGCTGCATGAGAGGTACTTATCAATGGATCAGTGGAGGGTTACTAGCTTTAAAAAACGTAAAAAGAGACACAAGAGTAATTCAGCTTCTTTTCTAATAAATGGATTGGCCCAGTTCAGTGGGACCTTAAGAAACTAACACTTGTCTGATATATGTAGACTTTACAATTTCCAAAGCATCCCAAAATATCAGAAGTCAATGTCTTGTTTGGCGTACAAATGCCTCAAGGTCTAACTAAAGATTTTGAACTCACTAAGAGTTCTTCCATTGACTGGGGAGGGAGACAGAGATGAACTGACAAAGTCAACCAAGAGCAGGGTAGATTCATCCACCCCAGCCTGGGCAACCACAGCGAGATTGCTACTCGTGTGGGAGCTGTTTAGTGGCAGTCAAACTCGGGCATCTCTGCAGTAGGCTGCCGTGACCACAGCACAGATGTTTCCCATGTGTATACTCTGCCTCTGGATTTCTGACATGCAGTGATTGCCCCTTGCATAACTTGAATTCAATCCTTCAGAAAAGTTAGAGGTAGCATGTTAGTGGGTGACAAAAGGTAATCAAAGATTATTTGTGGTAGCAGGGTGCAGGAGGTGGCACCACAGAATCTGACTGTAACTTTATGAGTCAGTCCCATGAGACTCCTAGTATTGCAGGGGCCAAATTTTCTCCAGAAAAAAAAAATTTCTTTTGTAAAATGCCATGCTTTTTACTTAGCATGTTTGCATTTTCTCCCTAGATGATGGCAATACTTTAAAGTCATTTTCCAGTGTTTCGGTTTGTCTTTTGCCTTTTTCCTTTAAGAAATTCCCGTCTTCTTTTTCAATCGTCACTTTATAAAATGTGGGAACATTCCATGAAACCAAATACGCGTATAAAAAAATAAATATATGGCCCTTGCAGTACCTTATGGGAGATATTTTTTCCCTGCAAAAATAAACACTTCCCTTTTCTGAACAGCCGTCCTCAGCACCCCAACAGCCTCCAGTGATGTCCGTGGGAGTTACCTGTGCAGAGGAATTTGCAGACTTACCTTCGCAGAGGCCCCCGTGCCTCAAGCTGGTGAGGCACAAGAAAGGAGAGCCGGCAGCTGAGCACGGGTCAGACAAGCGTCCCTCTTACGCTCGGTCTGTACGCTGCATTCTGCTCCGGTATGAGGACGAACCCGCTGCCCCCAAGACCGGCCTGAACAGTCAGTACAAATGCTCAACTAGGCTATCGGTGGTTCAGCAGCAGCCCTCCCTCGCTGAAGCGTTCGGCTGAGGCGGTGGGAGCCTGCCAAACCACACGTCCTCAATAACAGCAGCGGGCTGCTTGCTCGTCAGTCTGCAGGGGTCTTAGACAAACCGGCCAGGGAAAGTAAAGGTTGAGTGCCTCAGTTATAAGCATCTGGGGTTGATAACTGTAGTAGTTTCGGAGCATCAGATGATTCACAGCCGAATATGTGACAGGTCCTCAGGTTTTTGTGTCAGCCTGGAGAATGGCCTGCAACTGTCAAAAGAATCTTCTGTATTAGCGGGTGAGTAAGTGTGAAAAGAGTATCTGTGAATGCTCTGTGGTTATAAGCCACAGTGAGTTATTTTTTACCTCAGTGACATGCAGGACTGAATGGCAAGAGAGCGAGCCACTTCAGAGTGAATAAATGCTGAATAACCTGTTCTTAGAATTAACAGCTGTGCAAACGTTTGTATTCCACTATATCCTTGTGTCCTGGTTGCTGGCTGGGGTTAAACCATGACACCTTGTATGCAAAATCTGCTCTACATGCAACACGTATCGAACCTTCCTGCTGCCCTAGTTCCACACCCCACTTTCGTTCTCTGCCCCTCTGGACTCAGGTCTGGCAAAACCTCCTGAAGTGTCTACAGCTTGTGCTCTCTGGACCCATCACCTCTTCCCTCTCCCACTCTCCCTCTCCTAGGCATCTTCAGTTCCCTAATTTCCCTGAAGCCACCGTGCTTTAAGCCTTGCTGGCACAGAGGTTTTTGGGTTCTTCTTCACCCTTTTGCCTTTCTGTTTCTTCTCAAGCGTCATCCTGGGCGTGCTGCCCTGTCCAGCTCTCCCAGTCCATTCCTTAAATGAGCATCTGCTGCAGACAAAGGCTAAAATCAACTGCAAGTCAATTTATATTTATGGACGTACAAAGTTTATATGGCTCTTTGTGAGCTGTAAATATAAACACCTGGAGACAATTTTCAGCACCTGACTCCTGCTCAAAGTCCTTGACGATCAAAGTAGTTGCAGGCTGCAATGAAAGCATAAAGCGTAACCCTCCATTCTCTTGGTTTTCTATTTAAGGCGTTCTCCTCAGGTATGGATGGACGCCTGCTTTGGGTAAACTGTCACTGAATTCCTCGCCAGCCTCGCACAGAGCCTGCTGCCCTGAAGAGATCCCCGTTCCTCCGGCTATCTGAACGGGCAACCCAGCCGAGATCCGCGGTCGGTCAACCAGTTATCGTGCGTGAGGCGTCGGATGAAGCCTCCACGCCGCCTGCCAACCCTCCCGACGTGGACGGCCCTGTCTTACAAGCCCGAACCATCGGGCTTTGTGCTCCCCTGGGTGAGGCAGATCGCTGGCCAACTTCTCCAAAAAATAGCAGCGGATCCCGGCCTCCTGCCCCCACACACACACCCCCACACCCCGGCGCCGAGTCCGGCCCCGTGATCTTCCCCACCCGCGGAGCGGGACCCATGGGAGGCCGAGGGCTCGGCGGCTCCGGCGGCTCCCCGGAGCGGGGGTCGGGGGCCCACAAAGGTGAAGGGGCGAAGGGAGAGGAGGCCGGGACGGGACGACAGACGCCGCGGGGGGGGCTCCCGTGGGGCCCCGCCGGAGAGAGGGGCCGGGAGCGGGGGGGACCGCCCCGCAGGCCGCGGCCCC